CTCTATCTTCTTCTAGATATCTTCTGCCTAAAATCTTCTTCTATCAAAGCGTCTACTATTAAATTCTAAGTCTTAAGCATAACTAATCCTCTTTTTCAGTTGGCACAGGTGATGATGAGTACAATCGTGGTGAAATGGCGGGACATTCAAGCGGCGGCTACCGAAATCGATATGCTTATTGGCAGAAATAAATATTCAAGACGGGAAAAATGGAAAGGAGCAATTTTTTCGATTCATTCTTTCTGACTCATTTCTCCTTTCCTTTACATCTCAATCAAAAAACGATGCTATAAACTCTTTTGATGCTATAAACTATTAACTGCATGCCATTATTCTTAAACGAACCACGGAAAAAATTCTTATATCTAATCAGGAAATTTTGGCGAAAACGAATTAGATAAATATAGCTATGAAATATTTGATAGCTGCTGTGTGGATTGTATTTTTGGATGTCAACGGAGAGAATGTGAGTTTAAGATTTAATAAGATTTGCATAGGATTTGCCAAAGGTTGACAGTTTTATAGTGCAAGGGAAAGTTTAAGAGTTAATATTGAAATAGTAATTCATCTGAGTTCAGGTATTCTTTAAAGTTAGCTGAATTGAAATATTGAATTTAGACTTAGGCTTAGACAAGGGATATCTCTTACTCTCTTAAGGCTCTTAAGACCTTGATCTCTTGGTTTAGTATGGATACTACAATGCAAACTTTTGAAATTTTAAAATTACAGTAATATTGCCTAATTCTATTCAATCTATACACTTTTATCTAATTTTAAAAAGACAAAATGCTGGCATGGCAAAGTTAGTACTTTATCCACGATATTCAGTATTTACAGCGACTTCTTTTTTATAGATTAGCTCCCAAGTTCAACTTTACTGTTAAGAGTTATATAAAATATTGAAGCCCATAATCTTGGCTACATTTATCTCTTAAAAGTTTCCCGATTGATGATATAGAATTGATTTTACAAGCCTTTGAATGAGTACTAGTTGATCCCTCTCCGGCACGCTGCCATTTTTGACGATTTTCATTATAATAAATTGTCAGAAAAAGTTTTTTTGATATTTATTTTATGCTAAAATATTATTTAACATGATTTAATAACATTAAGAGCTGTTTTTGACCAAAACATTTTACTCAAATTTGAGTTGAAATCAAGTTTCTTTGGTGTTGCAAGGGAAAAAAGTGAAAATTGAGTGTTTTTCGATGTTTATTTCATATATTTTCCTTGTTATATTGCTGTAAATTTATTAGAAATAATTTTTAAATAAAATTTCACAAATTTAATGTAAAGAGGTTCTTTCTGATTGAAGAATTATTGAAGAAAATCGCCAAAAATGGCAGAGAGGGATCAACTCATTCAAAGGCTTGTAAAATGAGTTGTAGATCTCAAATCGGAAAACTTTTAATAGATAAATGTAGCCAAGATTAAGGGCTTCAATATCTTATATAACACTTAACAGTAAAGTTGAACTAGAGAGCTAATCCACTAATCTAGAAGTCGCCGTAAATACTGAACGCTGTAGATGATGATATTTAAATAGTTTTGATATTAGGTGACACTATCAACAACAACAATGAAGGCATCTAATTCTAACTCCATTTTGGTCTCTTTTCCAACAACAATGACACTATCAACATCTAATAGTACATCTAATAGTACTTCAAATGTAGCCACTACTCATTCACCGTCAAATCCAACGACACTCTCACATTTAACGACATCAGTGCTTCCTTCAAATACTAAAACTCTTAAAATGAGTATAAATGGCACAATATCATCAGCTACAACAACTCTTACAATGGATTCAAATGACACTACTCATTCATCGTCAAATACAACAACAACATCACCACCCTCCAATTCTACAACTACGACAAATGAGACAACTATTACACCACCTAGACTTCGAATAAAATGTGTAGAAGAAGAAGATTGTTTTGATTTGCAAATGGACTACAAATGTTGTATCAAAGATCGACCACCCGGAGAGACTTTTGCTTTTTGTCAGAAGAAATGCGTTAATGAAAAGAAGGGATTAATTGAATTAAACTTTGCTTTTTCTGTAGAAAAGTCTAGATAAACTTTCACTGACCAAGAAGTTTTAAAAAAAACAAAATCAAAGCTTAGTCTTGTTTTTAAGATTTACAACTTTCCAAAACTCAAGCCATTAAAATCTGATGTAACAAAAGATTGATGATCTTTGATAAGAATGTTCGATTTTCCATAACAAACATACCACATCAATGATTCGAATGAGCGCGGCGCCGAATTTCACCAAAACCGGTTGCGTCGCGTTTTTCACTGGTCGAACGTTTTTGTTGTAAAAATAAAGTAAATCCTCATAAAGTTGATTCGCATATTTGTTACAATTTATACAAATAAAGCCTGAAATCAATGAATTGAATGAAATTGGTAAAATGAAATGTACTTACCGTTAAATAAAAGCAGTAGCACCAGTCTCAATATGTTCATTAACAGGAGAAGTAAAAACAATAGTCTAGCTAATGGAATTAGTGTGAAAGCTGAGAGGAAAGATCTGTGAGAACCGAAAATCGATCAATGGTTGATGAAGAGAGGAAAATGGAAGAAGGGGAAAAGAAAATGAGTGAGTCCCACTCACAACAGCCTCCTTTACCACCTCTCTTTCTCACTTTTGGCCTCTCTCCCTTTGTCCGCTAATTCCTTTTGATTTCTTTTATTTATTACCACTGTAAAGTTTTGATTAGGAGTTTTGAATATAGAGGAAATCCTTATAAAATTGATTCGCTTATTGCAATTCACATAAATAAATCCTGAATTGAATGAGCTTGGTAAAATGTACAAACTGACACTAATCTGCTCAAGAACTGCTCAAGAAAAATCAAGAACTAGTTATAATTGCTTTCAATTAAAACTCTAAGTAAGTAGAAATACAAAGATGTTATCTAGACATGTCCATTTTCGAGTTTTGGCGGCCGGGTCGGGTCAGCGGGTCACTTTTGACCTGACCCGATCCGACCCGACCCGACCCGCTGCCCATGTCTAATGTTATCTAAGAAAGCTATCATCAAAATCAGAGCAGTTGATTTCATCAATTCAACTAAAGCAAACCGTCTAGCAAATCAATTTTCAGATTTCTTTTCTTTTTTTAGAGTTTTGTAACGGTCCCGGAAATGAATTTTGTTTCCGTTGTTTCCATTCAATTCCCCAAACCATCTTATAATTAGTTTTGACCTTCATTGTGGTCCGGTTACGAAAAGTTCTGGATTCTCCACTCGACTCCCACATGGAAAGAGAAAAAAAAAGAGAATTTCCGCATGGAAAGAGATTTCTTTCTCATTTCAAAGAGAAACACAAAATTTATCGTGTAAAACAATAATTTCAATCAATCTCACAAAAACAAGACAACAACAAAAAAATGAAAAAGAGACGACGACGCGACGCTCCCATCGACCACCTTCAAATGGCGGCGACGTCAATTGGAATGCGACGTCGCGCATTTCATTTAAAAAAGAAAATTTATCGCGTAAAACAATAATTTCAGTTAATCTGACAAAAAACATCACAAAAAAAAATGATTTTCAAGAAAATGAAAAAGAAACGACGACACGAGGCTCCCATCGACTACCTCCAAATGGCGGCGACGTCAATTGGAATGCGATGTCCCGCAAAAATTAACATTTAAGATTTGTGACGGAAATTCAAATTTAACATGAAAAGGTAGAAAAACATTTTGTTATCTCTCAGAAAGCCTCTACCCTTTGTCTTTCCTTCTTTCTCTTGTCAAGTCAAGGTACTAAATAGCTCAGTGGCTAGAGCAATTGCAATGCCCCGCAAAAATTAACATTTAAAATTTGTGACGGAAATTCAAATTTAACATGAAAGTGTTTCGAAATCATCCTTTATTTTAACTTTCCATTAGTTGAATCATTTTATTACCATCATTTATAAAAGAAAAGCACCGGTAATATCCCTGAGAAAAAATGAAAGAAAAAAGGCTCAAGATTTTCGATAATTTGATTCCAAAGAGCAACAACGAAAATCACGAAATTGAATATTATATTGGCAATAGAATTTGTACTCAGGACAAGCATCGTGACCGCCTGGAGAACATTTTCGATTGCGAACGATTCGTGGACAAAATGGATCTGAAAGAGAAAAAGGGATGATTTAGGATATGATTTTTAATCGTTTCAGGCATCAAAAGTCAAAGTTTTAACTACAAACTTGTAGAGAACTTGAGATTTGATCAAAGAAAAGGTTACAAACTCTTCTGCAAACTTAATAAACTAATAAACAATAACTTAATAAACTAATAAACTTAATAAACTGATTTTTAATCGTTTCAGGCATCAAAAGTCAAAGTTTTAACTACAAAATTGTAGAGAAATTGAGATTTGATCAAAGAAAAGGTTACAAACTCTTTTGCAAACTTAATAAACTAAAAATTCCTCATTAGTCATTATGCATAACTCTTCAGTACCACAATTTTACTTCAACTTACCCAAAGTCCTTTCTGTATCCACATCCGGAGCTTTTAAAGTAACTGTATAAACGAATTGTCCATATTGTCCAAAAGTGTTTCTTCCATATTCTAAGCTTTCTTCACTGTCTGGCATTAAAATTCTCGACAATGGAGTGGTTCGCTCGAAATAGAGCTCAGTTGTTGGCACTTCAGCAGGGGAACAACACACAGAGCGACCAAAGAGATCGTTTTGTGCCAAAACACATTCAGAATTTTCTGAAAAGATTAAGAATGAGATAATAAAGTAAAGAAATGAATGGAAAGAGGAGGAATTGAACCCTTGACCTTTTGCTTAACGGCAGATTCTCTAACACTGAGCTATCAGCGTCTTTGCTATCAAAGGCTATCAAAGACGAGACTTTTACTTTACTTTAGAACTGTTTTACTTAAAAATCAGCCACTGGCTTTAATAATATAGGAATAAAATACTTTTTCAACCTACCTGGACATTCAAATCCTCTATTAATTGTCGGGGAACATTCCATTAAAAGCTGGGTGCCTGGATAGAAAACGGGAAGAGAGTCACCGGGGCATTCAAGATATTTGAAGGGCTGAAATAGTTTAATTTATAAAGATTATAGTTAAGAATAGCTGAAATAGTTAAAAAAATTGAAACCTAGTTACAAGCAAAATGCTTTAACTTTAAGATTTTATTAAGTCTCAAAGTCAGTTTTCTGTTGCATTGCTTTCAAGTCTCAAAGCCGAATTCCTATAGTTGACTGAAGATCATAATTTTGTTGACAAATTGTACTTGAACTTACAGTTTAAATACTACAACACTGACATTGGGAAACTTTATACCTGATGCACATGTTGTGGTCTCAAAGTTGCACTGACTATTGGAAACGATGGTTTTGTTTCCAATAGTCCAATAATTGTACTTGAACTTACAGTTTAAATACTACAACACTGGCATTAGGAAACTTTATACCTGATGCACATGTTGTGGTCTCACAGTTGCACTGACTATTGGAAACGATGGTTTCGTTTCCCTGCTCGTCTCGGCATCGATTTCCTTTTGTAGATCTTAAAAAAGTTAAAATTTAAATAAAATTCTAATCACCTATAATCCTTTTCATTGGAATCTCTTCCTCAAACACCGAATTCTCCATAGAATTTCTAAGAGTGTGAACTGATTCGTGTTGACTCAAAAAAATCGGGTTCGTTGCTCGCGACTTTGTTGCAGTTGGTTTTGGTGTTGTAGTTTCCAAAGCTTTTGTGCTGTTTCTCGAGCTTTGATGCGATTGCATCTCAGTGAGGATTTGTTGAGTGGATTTTGGCGCAAACGTGCAACAGAAGCCGATGAGATCAGATGGATGAAGGCCTTGGCAGAGATAACCATCACTGAAAAGTATAAATGTTGACAGAAACGGATTCTGTCATCAGAATCCGATCCTTTCAGCAGAATCCGTTCCTGTCATCAGAATCGGATCCTGTCATCGTCGTCAGAATCCGATCCTGCCGTCAGAATCTTTATAATACATATTTGACAAAGAGTCAAGATTATGACTGAGACAATGGCTCTTTTTTAAGTTCCTTACTTGCACGAGGTAACTCCAACGGTGCATATCACCGGTTGCTGAGAAATCGAGTCCAAATAGGGTTTTGTGTTTTCCGGGCAAGTGGCTAAATAATTTTATATCAGTTCCAAGTTTTCTGATAGGCTTCATAGAAATGTTGATAAATTTTCAGCCTTTTGAGCTTACGTGTCAACTTTTCATCACAGCAAGCTCCCCATCGAGCCCCAGGCACGGTAGCCACGCAATAATGCTTCGTCGGGCAAGTACTAGGAGAAAGTAAAGGATCACACTTTAAAGATTTCCCGGAAACTGGATGAAGATACGCTTTTTGGCCAAGTGGACAAACATCTGAACTTGAATTTTAAATGGATTATTACAGGGAAAACCTTTTTCCGGTGTACAACAGTAGCCAATTGGTCCTTGACTGACACAAAAGAAATCCGATGGGCAATTGTCTGACACGGTTGTCGGTTGGCAAGTTCGAACCGTCTGTGATCCTGGCTCAAGATAAGCAAGATGACCGGATGGGCAAGTTTCTGAAATAGTTTGCGTTGTAGGATTTCAAAGGTGACCAAGAATACAGGGTGAATAGACAATTATTGCCTCACACTTTAGAGGGCCTCGATTGGCCAAAATTCGGTCAATCAATCTGATTTTTCTAGAAGTAAATCTTGAGTATATCTCCTAGAACGGTGCCCATTATCTAATCGATTCAAGCTTTCAACTTTTTTATATGGCCTTTAGAAGTTGAGAGCCGAGTGTCGCTCGGCACGCTACTCATTTATGGAATTTTGTTACTCGCTATGATTGTGGGTCACCTTGTAATTTGAATAGAATTCTTGTAATTGATCAAACTCAAATTTTAACCTCTTTTTGGATGTCCACAGCAGACATGTTTCCGGAAGAGAACATCATAAGCACAATGGAAACCATTTGGGCAATCTTGAGCCTCGACATTGCAAACTTTCACATTTCCTTGGACCATTTGAACTGTCTCCCCGTCATTGCATGCTGAAAGAAATAGCAAAATCTTACTCGCGAATTTATGTCGTTATAAATTGGCTAAGAGCTGGCTAAGAGCTGGCTAAGAGCTGGCTAAGAGCTGGCTAAGAGCTCTGTATCTTAGTCGGGAGATCAAGGATTCAATCTCGTTAGCTAGATTATTGGTTCTTCGTGGCAATATGTATTGTTTTGCAAAATCGACCTGTATTCTCACAAAATCGTTGACATTCTTGTAGCGTCTCAAATCGATTATCATTCCCACCGACACAATCGACAAACATAAAAGATTTACATCGAAGCTCGATTGGATCAAAGTAAAATCGTTGCACCGATGGCTTAAAGCAATCACCGTAACCGGGATTGATTTGAAGTGAGCAACGCTGGGCTGAAAAAGTTTTAAGTGAAGGAGAAACGAAGGTGCTTTTGATACCTTTTGTTAGACAGCAATATCCAACCGAAGTCCCAAAATGTGTTTGCCCGGTTGGTTGACATTTTCTTCCATTTGAGCATTCACTATCCATTGTACACCATAAAGCGTGATTCTTTGAGTCTTTTTCTGGCTCTGATCCATCCAAGCAGCTCTCTATAAAAAGTTTAGAAAAATCTAGTTTAATGTAAAGCTTACCTTTAAACTCATAAGCTAACAATAGATGAAACTTCAATAATAAAAGGGAAAGTCGAAAACGCATGATGAAGCTGAAAATAAGATCTCAAGAATTAAACAAATGAGAAAACGCAAAAGATGAAAAGAAAATGAATTGTTATTTAATAGTTAAAGAGATAGAAAAGTCTTTAATAAACATGCTAAATCAAGTTTAACTTGCAAAACTGTTCTAGTATTGATGAAAAACAAAAAACGATACAGTTGATGGGGTTTTGGTTGCTTGTGTGTCTTTGTTTCGGTTGATGGAGGACCTGGAGGGCTGAAAAAGGTGATTGGAAAGGAAAGGGAAAGGAGTTGATTGTGATGATCTCTTTTCGTTTCTTTTCTTTTTTTTCACTCACCCATTTCCCTTGAATTCATCGTGCAAAGAGTCTCCACACTTTCATTGAGACGAGTGCTATCAAACGTTTTCCACGAGAAAGAGACCCATTTTTTTCTATTGACACATCAACTCCCTGCAGGCTTTAGTAGGCTTACGTCTAATAGTGATACTAATTTTGATCATCTATTATAATGGCTGTAGTAGGCTTACGGCGAATAGTGATACTAATTTTGATCATCTATTATAATGGCTTTAGTAGGCTTACGTCTAATACTGATACTAATTTTGATCATCTATTATCATCTAATGTTCTGGCTAGAGAAGATTGTCATTAAAAACATTGAAACAAGACCTAAACTATCCACGAGATTTCAGTTTTTTTAACGAGAATTTCGAACAATACTTTGTTAGAGTTAAAGTATAAGAAACTTTACATAAAACTTGCTAAAAATTCTAATAAATTTTGTACTTTTTATTTCAAATATAAATCTCTGATAATATTTTAAAATAAAGTAAAGGATTTGGAAAGAAAAAGTTTCTGTAGAGGGGATTGAACCCTCGAGCTATGTGAGCTTGCTTTAGCCAATTGCTCTAACCACTGAGCTATCTTGTACCCTAAGGAAGAAAGAAAGAAGGAAAATAGAAAGAAAGAAAATATAAAGAAAGAAAAAAGAAATCTGAATCTCTGATAATGTTTAAAAGCAATAGAAAACGTAAAAGCTATGAATCTTTGGAAAAAAAACTTAAAAGAACTTAGAAAAAGTTGTCTTAAAGTCTCTTAAACAAAAATTGTGTTTAGAAGAAAAGGAAATTTGAATATTCAATATGCAAGGGTCAAAATTGGTGCATTGATGATGGGGGTGCAAAGGTGTGATCCTAAAACAAATGCATCCCTTTTCTTTCCGTTTGTCAACCCGATCAACCTCTAATTATTCATCACAAACAATCCCCCAATTCACCAATGTTTATCTAGATTTTATGCCCCAAAGCGAACAATGACTAAAAGAATAATATGAGCAAAAAGAACTAGGTTAAACAATAGAATTTCATCGTTATTCGTTGAAGGTTTAAAATTTTTTTCTTAATACAGGGTGCGTCATAATTATTGCAACAAGAGTTCAAAGGCCGTTTTCTAAACAGCTTTCTTATTTTTTTTGCCTCCTTTTTTGTTGTGTTGCGTTCTATCTTCTTTATTCTTGCCTAATTGCCTCCCGCTCACAAGAAGAAGACGGTTCAGGACTGGTGTGTGGCCAACTTTCCCTCAGTGATCACCAAGGATGAATGGCCTCCAAACTCACCGGATCTCAATGTGATGGACTTTTCCATTTGGGCAATTTTAGAGGCTAATGTCTGCTCTTTGACCTTGAAGAAGTCTTTGACCAAAGGATGGAAGGCGACTCCTCAAGGTGACATTCGGGCCGCAGTGGAGGCATATCCGAACCGATTAAGGGCTGTTATCAAGGCAAAAGGCGGTCATATCGAATGATCTCTTGTTTCCTTATTTGTTACTGTTAAATAAAGCTATTTCTGTTTAAAAATCTTCTTCCAGTGAAACTTCTTGGTGTGCAATGCCCTGAGTATCTTGTTGCAATAATTATGACGCACCCTGTACTTCTTAGTCCTGTAGTAGATACTGTAATAATTTGTATTGTATATTTCTTAATCTGGCTACTGTAATGAGTCCTGTAGTCTTGCTCTAGAAAGAGCTTTTCAATTAGAATTCTATTTAGGTACGGTTTAAAGGGACTGGCGCGAAAGTGGCGTGACGCGCTTTCTAAAGCATGAATACGCTACCGTACCCCGCACAAAATTCCCCTTTTGCCATTCTTTTCATTTTTCGGCATTTCGTGATCGTGAATGTTGTCCGGCTTTTTTTTCTTACCGTTTCGTACAATCTATTACAGTTGGCCGCTCACGACAGAAAAAGTTTATTGTAATTTTTCTCTTATTGGGTCGGTGGAAAAGTTCTTTCCGATTTTTTGGGAGAGTACCTTAAATTTGTCCAATTTTGACGTTTTATAGCTCATGCTAAAGCTGAATTCAAGACGGATCGATTGGTAAAAACCGTTTTGAGATATCTCTTTTCTAAAAGTTTTTACAGATATTTTAGTAAAGGGCGGCAGAGCCAAAAAATGGCTGTTTTCACGTTTCGTTAGTTTTCCGTGCAGAAACCTAGGCTAAAAACATGTGTTTCGTGATCAGCGTCAAAAATAACCCCTAGACACGCATTTTCAGAATCTTAGCAAAAAATTTTTGAAAAATATTGTCACCGGTGGAAATCGAACCAGCGACCCTCAGATCAATAGCCTTTCCGCTGCTTTCCGCTTTTCGCGGCTCCCTTCTACTCCATTGTCTTCGAATCTTTTTGTGCGTGCCGTATAAACTTAGCTTAACCAATTCTCTTTCAGCTAAAACGCATAAAATCTACCCAAGCCAAATCCGCGCGATCTTCTTGAGTTTTGCGTCTAATTATTTTAGAAAAAGGATTGGTGGGTAAAAAGGTATTGGGTATGGTTAAATGATGGCTAACATTTCGAATGCTTTTTCAATACGATTTTATTGTCAAAATTGCATTCAGTACCCTTTACCAATACATAATTGAATGCCTATGCTAGTTTTTACGATTTTGAAACTGTTTTTGATTGTTTCCTGTTCACAAAATCTTTTTTAGTTAATCAATGGTCCTCGTCCGAAACGAGCCCTCAACAACGTTGAGGAAATGGGACTTTCAGGGTGAGTTTCGAAATTTTATTTCTTCAGAGGCTGTATTTTCTGGCCCATAAAGATTGGATCTTTAGACTCAGTAAGTCAGCAAAACAGGTGAATTTCCCGGGAAACATATTCCATTTCTTTTATTGCATTTTTCGACTTCTCCCATTTTTTTCTCAATTTCCCTCATTCAAACGTATACAAATGAAGGGCTTCATTAGTTTTTTTCAATTGATTTTTGCGGAATTTTCTAGAATTTTGCTTTCTTTCACTGCTATGCATAAAACAAAACTGCCGAAAATTCTATAAAGTAAATAAATTATTGACTATCTACCATAGCTTTTTAAAACTTTTAGTCAGCCTAAAATCCCCTTAAAACAGCTGATAATTAAAGGAAACCTTGTGGCCTTTTGCCTCAAATTTCATTGTTTGTTAATCAACCAAAGTGAATACTTTGAGAGAAAAGGGGAAAAATGGAAAAAGTTTATGCAAAAGGGATTGGGGAACAAAATAAAAATTGGGAAGGGAAAGGGAAAAGACTTCAAAAAGACTTCAAAAAGACTTCAAAAAGACCTCAAAAAGGACTCAAGAAATCGGAGCTACCATTGCCAAAGCCATCGAGTTTCTTGATTTTTTTGCTGGATTTGCCAAGAATTATCTAGAAAAAGTCTAGGCCTAACTATTAAATTATTTTAACTTTATTATCCATTAGATTTATCTACTTTTATTGTAAGCTTCCCAAATGGAGCCCACCATTTTGGTCACTCCATCGACTCCTTTCGATTTGGAAGCAAGAAATAAATCCCCAATACCAAGTATTTTATTGTTTTGAATATAAAGATAGGATTTAGAATTAGAAATGAACCTCGATGTTGATATGAATGAGTCAAGAAGGGAATCAGTTAGCTCATTCACATCAGAACGATCACGGTCAAAGTCGCGATCGAATTGCTCTGCGTATTCGGCGTCGGTTGGTTTTGATTTTTGGTACATAAAATTATTTAAATCGAATAAGTATTTAATAAGTATTCAATAAGTTTTTGATATAAGAGATAAGATAAGATTACAAAGTTTTTGCAGCTACTTGAATCTTTAAAGTTTGCCTGTCTTCTTACCATTTGTAGACTAATTATCTGGCAAAATGTTATATGAAATTAAGGATTAAATAACTGAAAAATTGCCTATTCATATAAATCCATATTCTTTTTAAAGAAAGCATTTAGTTTCTCAATATTATCCTCATTTTCTTTAGGTAGAGAGTGGCCTTGAAACAGCAAAGAAACAAAACGGGGCGTATCTATTTGGACCAATGAAATGGTTGAGTGAAACAGCTGGTTTGTCATTATTTCTTTTTCTAAAGGCTCAACTTTTAGGTCAACTCTTCGATAAAAGAGAATCAATTGACTTCTCGAATACCTACACACAAGAACTCTTGAAACCTCTATTCGTTTATATGAGCGCCCTTGGATTGGATCATACCTTCAGCTTAAATCATTCGATTTTTCACAAGCTCTACAATGTGGCCGTGTTTTTACTCTTGGTAAGAGCTTACAAAACAGAAAATTTGGCAACTTCTTGTATTTTCTAAGAGCTTGCTGTAAATAGACTGTAAATAAGTTAAAGATATAGAAAATGAGCGTGTTAATCGATTCCCCGACCTCGAAAACCCTCGGCTACAAATTTACAGCAATATCTTTTTCTACCATCCAGAAAACAAAGAAAAATCTCTATGTAAATGACCAACAAGCTGTTCTTTCTACGGCCGCGTAATCGCTCTCCATCTGGCAAACCGCTTCGGTATAGAAGGCTTCCCATTTGACACTCTTTCTCTCTTTTTAGCGCCACTATGCTCAACTTTTTGAGAACAATTTTTCCCTTAAATGTGACTGGATTTTCGCTATGAATTCCAAATTCTACAAGCCAAAACAAGCTGACATATTCAAGGATTAAACTTAAAAACTGAACAGCCAAACACTTAAAACTCATTCCAGATAGCCTCAACGTTACGAAAGTTCACTCAAATCGGTGATCGAGGAGCTCAGCAAAAAGAAATCGCACTTAAAGTGGACAACTTTAAAAAGAGATTTTATCAAAATATTTTTCAGGATGCAATGTTTGATCCCTCGGTTGTGATGACGCTTTGCCATTGTCTTTTCATGTTCAGGTAATCGCAATTTTAAGAATAGAAATTTCTGTGCCTATTGATTAGCTAAAGGTTTTCTAGAATAGTTTTTTGAAATTAAAATTTATCCATTTGTTTAGTGGTTGTTCGGCGGCTTTCATGCTACTTCTATTTCAACAAAGGCGACGAAGAGTTTATGAAGTTAGTTAATGAAGGAAATGTTTGATGTTTAAGTATAAAATTGTTGATTTATGATTTAAAAGGAGAAAATGAAGTCATTCTATTAGGCAAGAAAGTCAAGAAAGATTTGAAATGAAATTTTTCCAAAACAAATCCACCAATTCACTTTGTTCTATCATTTAAAAATCAACTCCAAGAAATTCCTCGTAAAAAAAATAAGTGCAGCTTTTCCTTAAGCTCTTATTTTTAATCGTTCAACCAACAATTTTAGATTTAAAAGTTAAGTACATACTGAAGTTGAAAATTTTAGGTTTTAGACCAAGGAATCGGGAAAGGAAAAGCAAAAGAAGAGGATGCTCACTTGCTAAATATCAATAAAGCCTTGGTGATCTTGTCTGGTGTTTTCTCATCAATAATGGCAGCGATGCATTTTTGTAATTGACTTTCATCTTTCTATTACTATTTTCATTTCAGTCACCAAAACTGGAGTTCTCGAATTACCCCAATCACCTCCACTCATCACCAACGATTTACCCTTCATCATTATGGAGACTTATATAATTTTCGTGACTCAAGTAAGTATTAATGGCTTGATTTCATATTTTTTTGAAGTTAGAAATGGTTATAAAACCTATCATGTTAAAGGCTCATTGAGTAAAGCATAAGGCCCTACTCTAGCGGCAACGGGATACGTGTGGGGTAGCTCATTGGTAGAGGGTTCGACCGATAAGCGAGAAGCAGCAAAAGGTCCCGGATTCGAATCCCAACGCCGACCATGTTTGGTATTCCTAGCCCCATAAAAGAACCGGCTTATCTAACTATTGGCTGGAGGAAACATCAGTATTGAATCAATCACTTCAGTAGACAAAACGTCAAGTAATATATTGAATAATTCATTTCATTAATCAAATCAATTCCTTTTCAGAGCTCAATTCTGATGTTGGCCTCATTATTCAGTCAGTTGTGCCTCATTTTGTGTTCAAGCATTCGCCGACTTTGCGCTGAGATGTTACCCGTTCACGAAGAGTGAGTTGAAAAAAAGAAAAGGAAGGAAAGAAAGAAGAAAGAAAAAAACGGGAACAAAGAATAAAGCCTTACTAGAGATTTGCAAAACGGGTCCCTTGGTAGTCTAATGGATAAGAGGCTTGTGTCTAGAGCCAGCTATACCTGGTTCAATTCCTTTTCCACCATAATCTTTTGCTTTTTTTTGTTTATTCAAGTATTTCCATGTTTAATTTTGTTTTCTTTTATTTTCTATTGGATATTTCATCAAAATCAATAGTTGGGGAACATTTATTTGAACAAAATTAAAGAATAAACCTAACACTAATGATTAGTCAGTTATCAAGTTCAGTCTTTTCTAAGGCTTACTTTCGAATTCTTTGAACTTTGATTACCAAAGATTTCCAGATGTCCAACCACTGAGCAATCGTTGAAACAAATCCATGACGTACAAATTCATTATCAGGTTTGAAAATTGAGCTTACATGGTAACAATAATACTAGCAATTCAGGAGTTGTACAACGCTAAAGCATTAATCGAGGAAAATTTCTCATTTGCAATTTTTTTCACATATGGTTGTTGCATTCCGATGATTTGTTTTCTCAGTTACATTTTGTTAAAGAATTCACATGTAAGTTTTGTTAATTCTTTTAAAGTTTAACAATATTTTTGATACTTTAGTTGAGTGATACGACTGAAACAGTCTCTTTATTAATGTGGGTGTTCAACACAATCACTGTACTGCTTTTCTTCAGCATTCCTGCCTTTATGGTTCAAGAGGAGGTTAGTATATGAGATAGAAAATGATATCTGCTTTACTAGATCTTTAAGGTAAAGGTTAATGGTCAGAGTTAGTCCCGAAATCAGGTTTAGCTTGGCTTCTGACTAGGCTAGTAGTAAGGCTTACTAGAAAACGGTCAGATTTCGTCTCTTACAACTTACAGATCAGCTTACAGCTCAGCTTAAAGCTCAGCTTACAGCTCAGCTTACAGCTCAGCTTACAGATCAGCTTACAGATCAGCTTACAATTGGCCCTAAAACTATTTGTAATGTTCAGATAAAATTGAGGTGTTAAAATATCAAAACGCAAAACAAAAGTTTTACTAAAATGGAATCAAACTCGAGGAGAATAAGCAGCGCTCGTTTTGTATGCCAACGTTTTATCCACTATACGATCAGGCCATGTTTGAGAGCCGCGAGAGAACCATTATAAAGGCACTAGATCCAGAAAAGAATCCATTTCATTTAACAAAAAAGCTTAATAAGATAAGCATTGCCAACTGGCAAAGCTTATCTTAATCTTAATATTCTATTTATTAATACTTAATAAATAGAATATTAAGATATTAAGAGAAATGGCTTGCTTTTTCTATTTATTAATACTTAATAAATAGAAAAATCAAGCCAATGCCAAGCAAAGCATTCCAAATAATTTAGGGTGAGAAGATTTTGAGCTCTTGTTTCCGTATGTATCATGAAACTCTTTGCGAAGATCGAGATCTGTTAGTGATGGTGAGAGAAATACAATTATCAACTTTTAAACGCAAATTTATAGTCTCAAATGCAATTCCTTTCTATTCAAATGCACACATCGCGCATCCAGTTAACAGCTGGAAATTTCTTCGTAATGACGAGGAAAATCTTGCTAACGGTAACCACAAAAGTTATTGTAATTCGATTCTAATCAAAAAGTTTAGCTAATTTCCGCGATTTTCACTTATTTCCTTATCATCGTGCAATTTGAGTCGGAATCAAAAGCGAACAATCCAAAGCCACCAGCTAAAGGATAGAAATATTTTAAATAAATAAATGTAAGTGTAAATAAATGAAATAACATTTTACACATTCGCATTTTGTTTTTAGAATTTATAGAAGAGGATTTAAACGTAAAAAAAATTGAAAGCGAGAGGATTGGAAAATTTATGAAATTGTGTAGATATAGATACTTTATTCATGACCTGAGATAAAGTTCGCTAGATTTAAGATTAAAACACATGAATTTGGCCTCTACAAATTTGGTTCCTTATCTCTCTAAATTTGGTTCCTGATCTCTACAAATTTGGTTCATTATCTCTACAAATTTGATTCCTTATCTCTACAAATTTGGTTCCTTATCTCTACAAATTTGGTTCCTTATCTCTACAAATTTGGTTCCTTATCTCTCTAAATTTGGTTCCTGATCTCTCTAAATTTGGTTCCTTATCTCTACAAATTTGGTTCCTTATCTCTCTAAACATATAACACGAAAGGGGCCGATAAAAAGCAACACGATATAATGCATGTAATGGGTAACACAGATAACGTCAAGGATCCACTAGAGCTTCAAGATCAAGATCATCTACAGGTAATTTAAAGATTTTGAGATTATTGGACTCTCTCAAAATGTGTGTGCAAATCAATGCTTATTTTTGAGAGAAAATGAATCCTCAATGAAAATGAAAAAGAGAAAATGAGAAAATGAAAATGAATCCGAACGTTGAATCGATTCAATAACGAACATAACATATCGATATTTATTTTAATAAGACCGCAAAATTTACAATTAAAATATGTAAATCACTTCTCAGATCAATCGTTTCCGTTTTCGATTCCATGGTTTACACGTGAAGAGAAATCCAGTCGCACAACCATTTAAATCTCGAGCTTTTACATCATATGTACATCTAAAAGATTTAAAAATAAGGATTGTATAGAAATTGAAATCTAAATTCTTTTGTTAAATGTGGGTAGGTTAGTTTCCGCAACTTTTTTTGCGCAACAGGATCATTTGCGCAACAGGGTCGTTTGCGCAACTCACCATAACTTTCTTCTAATTGGGCCAATCTTTATGATTTTGGTTTCATTTTGTAGATCTCAATAAGTGCAACAAAATGAAACCAAAATCATAAAGATTGGCCGAATTAGAAGAAAGTTATGGCGAGTCCCCTGTTGCGGAAATTAGCCTACCCCGTTAAATTTTAATTCAATATTGTAAGCTAACTGAAGGTTTACGGCTTTTTTTCAAAACTTGTTTGACTAAAAAATCTCTAAAGTAATTCTAAAATTATTTAAATACTCATTAATTTTCGAATTCACTAAATACCTGCACGAATTATCCTTGCTAAAACCTGGTAACAAGAGTTCACAAGAATCATCATTACTCAATGAGGCCTCTCCATCGAGCAATGGATTCAGAATTGGACAGTTGAATGTTGGACCTGTTGAATGTTGGAAAATGGTGAATAAAATTTAAACTTTATAATAAATAAAGCTAATAAAGCTTACCTTTATGTGGGAACATTGGATGTGCAAGAAGCAATGGTTTCAGTATTACTTTTGTTTTCTCATTTTGAGGTCTTGTAGTTGACTGAATAAGTTACATAATATTAATTTAATTATTTAGTTATTTAGTTATTTAGTCTTTAGCTATTAGTTCTACACGTTTAGTTTACCCGAGTTTGAAAGCTGAAAACTCTTGAACGAGTGGGAGTCGGAGTGGTTGTTTCTTGAATTTGTCTAAACAATAATTAGACGAAAACTTAAAACTGATATTAGACGATAAAACTTAAAATACCTGGTAAAATCGCTAAATTTTTCTTTCATCATAACTGTGACAGGTTTAGGTGTTGTTGGGATTGTTGTCGTTGTCGTGATTGTGCTTGTAGTTCTCGTGATCCGTCTTCTGATTGAAAAACGTCTCGTTCTTCTTGTTCTTGTAGTGAAAAGCTCAATGGACTTTGTTGTAGGTGTTGGAGTTGTAGGGATCTAAAGGATCAGTTGTAGGGATCTAAAGGATCAGTTGTAAGGATCAGTTGTAGGGATCTAAAGGATCAGTTGTAAGGATCAGTTGTAGGGATCTAGAGGATCAGTTGTAGGGATCTAAAGGATCAGTTGTATGGATCTAAAGAAGATCTAAAGATCTAAAGAAGCCATATTAGATCAAACTAATGTAAACATGAGCTCCAGTAAATGTCAGATTTAAACGCACAATAGTTGGACTAGTTGTGAAGAAGCTCCTTTTTGAGGTGAACAAGAAAAATCTTGGAACAATAGTAGAGATTGGTATCTAGAATGTTTTCTTCATTTAATCAACTACAAATTACCGTAGTTGTAGATCCAAGAGTGCTTCTCGTTCTCGTTCTGAACCGTCTTCTTTTTGTGGTTGATGGTTGAGTCGTCAGTATTGTTGTAGATTGCTAAAGAAACTTTTACTTTTGCAAAAGTTTGAATAGATAAAAAGCTATCAAATAATGAGAACAACAAACCGTTGTGGTCGTTGTCGTTGTAGTCGTCGTCGTTGTAGTCGTTGTAGTCGTTGTAGTCGTTGTAGTCGTCGTCGTTGGAGTCGTTGTAGTCGTTGTAGTCGTTGTAGTCGTTGTAGTCGTTGTAGTCGTTGTCGTCGTTGTCGTTGTCGTCGTTGTAGTCGTTGTAGTCGTTGTACTTGTTGCGGTTACTTTCTGAGTGGTTGTGGTGGAAAGTGTTGTAGTTAATTCTGGGCTTGTAGTGGTAGTCAGCTAAATTTTCGACAAATTTCCGACAAACAGTTTCCACCAACCGCTTCAGTTGTCGTAAAAGGCGTTTGTCGCACAGTGGTTGTAGTAGTTTTGGCTGTTGTAGTAGTGGTTGGCTGAAAATTTTGGTGTTTTTTGGGTGTTTTTTGATCTCTAAATCATTATCTTGTCAGATTCAAGTTCTCAAACCGTTTCAGTGGTGATTTCCATTGAGTTGATTGGCTCAAAGTCCTCAACCAAATCCTCAAGTATAAAGGGTTCAAAAGATTCAATCGTATTCAAAACTTCAGGAATAGTTGTAGTCTAAACAAGAAAAAAAAATCTAAAACAAAAACTAAAACAAGCCTCAAAAGTCGACTGAAAAGTCAGAGGAGTTGTTGACTTCAGCTCAAACATTAAACTTTCATTTTTGAGTGTGGGATTTAGCTTTTTAGTGACGTCAGTAATAGTTGGCTTGATCTAAATCAATTAATTTATCTTTTGCAGTATTAAAACTTCAGTATTTTGATTTAGGAAGGCATCAAAGTTTGGCAGAAATTCAAATGGTTCACTGGTTGAAGTTTGGTCAATAATTGTGCTCTAAAAGTTGTATCAAAAAGATTTAAAACTCAATTTACTTGAATTTGTTTTGCTTTGAACTTTGGTATGATTATTCTCGAGAAAATCACGTTTGGGCTTGTTGTTTGGGGTTTAGTTGATAGGATTTCTCGCGTGATAGTTGAGTTTTCTTTTTGAGTAGTTTCTTGAGTAAATTCTGGTGCTACATCTTCTTCCTCTTCAGCTAAAGATTTTGAAGATTTAAGTAATGATAAAATTGTTGCTGAAGTTGTTGTTGTTGTTGTTGTTGTTGATGTTGTTGTTGTTGTTGTAGGCATTGTTGTTGAAGTTGTTGTTGTTGATGTTGTTGATGTTGTTGTAGGCATTGTTGTTGTTGTAGGCATTGTTGTTGTTGTTGTTCTTGTTCTTGTTGTTCTTGTCAACTTTCTTGGCTGGAAAGTGGGTGTTGTGGCTCTCGTACTTGTTGTTGCCATCAGTTTTGTTGTCTTTTCTTTTGTATCATTCAATCCAATCAAATTATTTTCAGTTTCAATATCGTAATCCTCCAAAATCACGCCAGGCCTCAGAAATTTCTTTGTAGTTCTCCAGGGAAGTGGATCGTTTGTAACAGTTCTAAATCAACATTGCTTAATGTTTAAACCAAGCAGATTTTAAAATAATATAAAGTCAAAGTATCACAGTATACTAAAACTGATAATAGATTGAATTTCTTTAAGAAAAACAGCTGAATTTGAAAGCTGATGATTGATTAAATCTCTTTAAGAACAAGTGCTAAATTTGAAAACTGATCAGTTTCAAGATACTGTAGAGAAACAAAAGACCAAGGCTTTTCACGAATCAATCTTAGCCTTTCAAACTCACTCCTCAACAAGTTGCTTTTGTCCAAAGTTTTCGAGCGAAATCTAAAATTTTATATATGTCGTAGCCGATTATGAATGAAATTTTTTGGCAAATCAAATCGAGGACAATATTATATCATCTTGTAGCGAATTAAATTCTGCGTCGATTGGTACCAAATTTGTGAGTTTAGGTTAAAAATTGCCGGCGCTACAATGTTTCATTCAAAATCGGCTGGATCCCCGTAGCCGATTATGAATGAGTGGGTCTAGGAGCGTCCAACCATCAAGTATTTAGTATCATTCAACGCAGAATCATTAATAATTATGTTAAATTTTTAAAATTAGCAAGATTTGATAAAAAGAAAAAAAATTAGAGCAAAAAAACTGTTTGTTCAACTTTGAAGTCCCATAATTTTTTTTCTTTTTATCCAATCTTTCTAATTTAAAAAATTTAACATAATTATTAATGATTCTGCGTTGAATGATACTAAATACTTGATGGTTAGACGCTCCTAGGCCCACTCATTCATAATCGGCTACGACATATATAATTGTTGATTAAATTTGAATGCTTTTGTTAACCTCTTCATCTAAAGGCGGAAAAAATGGTGTCGATAAAATCTCATCGTAAAGTTTCTAAACCAAAAAGATATTAAATTTCATTGAAAAAAAAACGAACTTCATGACTTTTATCCTTCTCATTTTCCTCATTGAAATCATAATAAAAAGACTCGGGATTTGAGAATTGAGTGAGTTCATCAATTTGTAAATCTAAAGAGAAAATGAGGCTTAATTCAAATTGTTGGCTTACCTTCTGACTCAATCGTTTTCACCTCATGTACTTTCGATTTTATAGCAAATGTAATAAATATTAATCCATAAAAAAGAGAGATATACTGAAGAAACATAGCATTTAAAATCTGAAAAGATTATGAGATATTGAAATATATTAGATTTAATTTGAATAAAAGAATAAAACTAATAAAACTAGAAAACTCTCTAATCTAACAATAGGATTAAAAGAAAAGAGATTGAGAACAAAAAGAAAGATATACCGCATTTTCTCTAATAGTAGTGCACCCCGGCGAGCCGAGTTGGTGACGATTTTACGGTTTCCAAGCTTTTGCAGTAGCTCAACACTCTAATCTTCTGAAAGATCTCATCATCAGCTACATTTTCCGACCCCACATCAATAGGTTCTGATAAGCGGTTCTCGAGATTTCGAGGAATTTAGGCAAAGCTCAGGGTGCACTACTATTAGAGAAAATACGGTAGTTTAGTTTATCTAGTATCTAAGTCCAGACCTATTTCTGAGCAAATCCAGAAATCAAACCAGCGATCTAACTCTAGTTTTATCTGGTTTTTCTGAAATTTTGCATACCGTATTCTCTCTAATAGTAGTGCACCCCGGCGAGTCGAGTTGGTGACGATTTTACGGTTTCCAAGCTTTTGCAGAAGCTCAACACTCTAATTTTCTGCAAGATCTCATCGTCAGCTACATTTTCCGACCCCACATCAATAGGTTCTGATAAGCGGTTCTCGAGATTTCGAGGAATTTAGGCAACGCTCACGGTGCACTACTATTAGAGAAAATACGGTAAATACTTTATTTAGAAAGAAATAAAGTGCGAAAACGACATGAAAAATGTACGAGATAAGAGATGATAAAGTCACTTAAAATGCAACGAAGTAGCCCTTTCAGACACGGTGAAGATCAAACGCAACTTGTCGGGAATGGCATTCCAAACTTTAATCACACGATTTACAAAAAAAAGCTCTAGAGGATTTAGAGAAAGCAGATTCGGGATGCAAGATAAAAGAGCCACGCCTAGTCGCCAAAAGCCTCGAGTTTAGCCGAAAAAAAATTTTAAAAAGAAGGTTTAGATGTTTTCCTTTTAGAATTTTAATGTAAGCAAAGGATTGAGAAAGTGAGAGTGAAAGTTTTCAATGTGTTTTCTATAGAAAAGTCTTGGGGAAGTCTTCTGAGAAACAATTGAATTTAAAAGAAATTTTGTTTAATCTTAATACCGATATAATGCTTGAAAATGAATTAAATTTACCAAAAAGTGGGAAATCAATGAAATGTTATGAAAATCATGTTTTTCACCTCAATGTCATTTCCTTTTAACCTTTTTTGAGAGTGAAAAGAAATTGTGATTGATGATTGGCACAAATTTATGCAAACAAGATCTGTTTGACAAGAAGAAGTGAGAGAAAGTGGGAAAAGAAAGAAATGGAAATTGAAGAAGCTACGAATTTATTAAAATATCATTGCTATCATTGCTTTCTAAAGTTCAAATTTCTTTCAAATACCGCATTTTCTCTAATAGTAGTGCACCGCGCCTAGCTGAGTTGATCACTATTTTACGGTTTCTATGTTTTCACAGAAGCTCAATACTCTAATCCCCTGCAAGATCTCATCGTCAGCTACATTTTCCGATCCCACATCAATAGGTTCTGATAAGCGTTTTTCGAGATTTCGAGCAATTTAGGCAACGCTCACGGTGCACTACTACTAGAGAGAATACGGTAAAAATGTTTGTCGGTAGTGAATTTACCAGTTAGAACCAACCAAAAAGCGCTTTGAAGCAATGGATTTGAGTGGATTTGACCTAAGAAAAGCCTGTGATATATCAAGGCTTGAGAACCTAGGATTTATATTTTAATATAAACATTTTTGGGGTTAATTACCGTATTTTCCTAGCCGAGTTGATGACTATTTTACGGTTTCTAAGTTTTCGCAGAAGCTCAATACTCTAATCCCCTGCAAGATCTCATCGTCAGCTACATTTTCCGATCCCACATCGATAGGTTCTGATAAGCAGTTCTCGAGATTTAGCAAATTTAGAAACTAGAAAAACTAGAGATTTAGAAACTAGCAAATAGCCTTTGAAGAAACTCTGTAAGTACCGTGTTTTCCATGCACGAGCCGAATTGATCACTATTTTACGGTTTCTAAGTTTTCGCAGAAGCTCAATACTCTAATCTTCTGCAAGATCTCATCGTATACTCTCTAATAGTACCCGTAAATTTGTTTTCAATTGAAAAATCCTTCAAAATTTTTGTTTTAACACTTCAATTGTTATTTTAAAAGAATAGAATCTCTCGTTATAAATGTCTTTGAAAAACATGCGAAACTGTGTTTGTGTGATGAGCGTTTTACCTCAAATGCAGTCTTTGAAAAGGCTAGAAATTTTTGATCAGTATTTCAGCTTCAAAATACTATAAAAGATGGAATTTGTTTTAGCAAGTGTTTTACCAAGTATTTTAGCCGTTTTATCAGAATTTACAAGTGTGCAGGAGCTTTTTGATCACTCTGTATCTTCACAAGAATTCACAACTTCGATGGTGATTGATGGTCGACACATTTATGCAAACGAGATCCAGAGAGCCGAGAAAGTGGGAAAGAAAAGAATGGAGAGACTCCGAGATGATAAAAAAAGAACTCCTTTTCGTTTCATCAACAAGTCCATGTTCAATCTGTTTTCCCTATTGTGTACTAAAGTTTTTGAAAAAGTTTAAGCTTTTTCCAGAAAGGATTAGTAAAAGTACCCATTCCAACCCATTTCCTTGTCCATTGCTTTGTCCATTTAAAGAAAAAGATCTAACCCTCCTCGTTATTCACCTAGAAATTGAAGTTCGTTTGAATTGGAGTTCTTTTTTTTTTGTTTTCTTGGTCAATGAATCTTCATACTTCATCTTGAAGAAAGAAAAGAAAATAGGATGAATAGAAGAGAGAAATTCGCATTTCACGCCTTTGAAAGAACGACTTTCTCTTAAAATTGATGGTTGTTTTTCGCTTTTCAGTTGAACTAACCTCTTCAAACAATAAACGAGTCAAGAATTCTCTACTCTAATCTCAAATTCACTTCAAATAAAATCTCCGCTTTTAATTCTCAAATCAAGAGCTTTAATAAGCAATTGTTTAAAATATTGGGTTGGTGAATTGAAAATTGAAAAGACTTTGAACTAAAATTTATTCAACATAAAACCATAAATTCTTTCCCAATAATTTCCATTATTATTGACGACTTCTGCCCATTTTACAGGCAATTTGCTGATTCCTCTTTCGTTGTAGGATTTTGGTTTGTGTGTGAGACAAGTGTGAGACTCAAAAATGGAGGACTGGAGAAAATGGATGTCCCAGTTTGAGCACTTTCTTCAAAAGAAACCCATTTTGGTGTCAATAGAAAAGTTGTAGAGAATCAAAAATTAGGCTTATAGCCAAATTTCCAAAAAGATACACTTAGTAGTTTCGCTTAAAATGTAAGTTTTGTGAAAATTCGTAAATTTCGCATTTCTTGAAAACCAGTTTTTGAATCGTTCTGAAAATTTGGATAGAAGCTTGATTTTTGATTCTCTACAACTTTTCTATTGACACCAAAATGGGTTTCTTTTGAAGAAAGTGCTCAAACTGTCACATATGACAATAGCCGGCAGTTTTCAATTCACCAACTCAATAGAAATTTTAATCCTGAAACATTACTTTACTTTACTTTAAAACCCTTTTCTTCTCTTTCTCTTTACTTTGCTTTAAAACTCTTTTCATCTCTTTCTCTTTACTTTACTTTACTTTAAAACTCTTTTCAAAGCCTTAAACTTTCTATCAAGTATTATATACATTTTGCAAGCTATTTAAAAGAATAAAGAATATCCTTTTCTCAACGAAAACCAAGCAAACATCTATTGCAAAGCCGAGAATCTCATTTGAGTCCGTTTTCCTTTTCCAGAATTTCTCTAACTTTTCTCAAATATTTTCACTGGTCACCTCCCCAAGGGGAACGCATTTCTCGGCCTAGCCAAGCTCATTTTCGGAGGAAATTCGGAGGTGAGGTAAGAAAAGGAAAAAAAGAAGGGAAAACGTAGTAGAAACCCACACAGATCTCTCTCAATAACAACATAATCTAAAAAGCTTCTTTTTTCTTTTTGCTTTTAATTCTAGACGTCGATTTCTTTGTTTTTAAAAGGTTTTTGATTTGTTCGCTATGATTCTACAAGCTGAACAATCTAGTAGCTTCTTTTGAAGATTCTCTTGTAAGATTCTCTTGTAAAATGATTCATAATACTTTGACAGATAGTTTAAAGCCAAAATAAACATAATCCTTTGGTTTTATGTGTAAGTTTGATGATTTAATCGATGATTTTTCAAGTTTTTTTGTCGTTAGAACGAAACTTTTGAACAAATCTCTACTTAAAAACACTAAAATTTTAGTTTTATTTTATAATTTTAATTATTTTAAAGTATTTTCATTCTTTGATTCTTTGATCCGATCTTCTAATCTTTTTTTGTCTACCTGGATGTTTTTGGGTGATTGGAAGCAGTTGTGGAGGCGTTTGATGAGCTTGAAAGGTCAGTTTTTTCCTCGTTTTCTCTGGGGATTGCTTATGTGTAAGTTTGATGATTTAATCAATGATTTTTCAAGTTTATTTGTCGTTAGAACGAAACTTGTGAACAAATCTCTACTTAAAAACACTAAAATGTTAGTTTTATTTTATAATTTTAATTATTTTAAAGTATTTTCATTCTTTGATTCTTTGATTTGATCTTCTAATCAAACTTTAATCTTTTTTTTGTCTACCTTGATGTTTTTGGGTGATTGGAAGCAGTTGTGGAGGCGTTTGATGGGCTTGAAAGGTCAGTTTTTTGTTTTCTCTGGGGATTGCCAAGCAGCTTTCTTCAAGATTGACTTCTAGTAATATCTAGATATTGAAACCTGTTCAGAAAGCTTTTTCCCAACGTTTCCTTTTAACTTTAGCTTTTAGCTTGCTTTTAGAATGCTTCAAAATTATTGAATTCACTTTTTCATCCATAAGAATCTTCTGTTTTTGCAAGTGATTTGAAGAAATTTCAAAAATTAAACCAACAATTCGTCACTATAGCCAAACACCTATAAACAAATGATGTTTA